ATGGACTGCCCACTGTGTGTCAGAGGCTGTCCTAAGTACCGCAGGGTGAGGACTGAGCGAAGCCGACGAAACTGCCACCTTCCCGGAACCTACGATCTAAGTGTCTGGCGAAACAGTGAGCATTAAAGAGGTAATGCTTGTATCAGAGGTGCCCATTTTCTATAGCGAGATAGAAAGTAGCTAGGAAGGGGACAGGGCATCCAGAGAGCTGCCATCGCTGGCAGATGACGGGAAGACCCCATGGCATGCGAGTCAGGCCGGGTGGAGCGCTGTGTCCACAATGGAGCAGACCCGCTGCATGCAAGCCCACATCCAAGAAAGGACTGAGACCACAAGAGCCTCACAGTGGCTGGAGACTGGGGCTGCCTGCAGCCAGCAGATCCTCAGGCTTGCAAAGTGCAGGGAGAAGACCAGCAGGAGGCTGCTCTGGTCAGCCGGCCACATGCCAAAGGTCAGGGTGAGGAAAAGGGCTGGACCCATGAACTGTGGACTGTCTGGGTGGAGTGTGAGGAAGAAGAAGAAAGCAGGAGCCCCATTCAGCCAGGCTGGAGGGTCAACCGTCACCAGAGGAGAGCCAGCCCATGAGACTGGAGGTCAGGGGCACAGTAGATGAGGATGCGTGGGAAGGACTGAGGGTCGAGGACGGGCAGGGAGGGCATAGTCACTGCTGCCAAATGCTGTCGAGAGGCTGACCGAGGAGGCCTGAGAAGCCGCCCAGGAGTTCACAGGTGAAATGCGCCATCTTTGCATTGGAGGCAGTGGCCTCCCTGGCATGGGCCTATTGCCCTAACACAACCTCATCTTCTTGGGCACCTGGGGCTCTCGTCCCTGACACTCAGGGGCATAGCCAATAGGCCCACACAGTACAGAGCATCCCTTGGCTCCACAGGGCTGACCAAAGCCTGTCAAGGGGCAACCATGAACACCTATAAGCTCCCGCAAAGACACAGCCCCCAGGACCACTGTTCAGAGGGGGAGAGGGCCAGCCCTGGGGGTGAGCCACACAGACAACCTGGAGCAGACCTGGGCCTGCAATGGCCCACAGCGTGCAGCCACCACAGGTCCCGAGGTGCTCTTCTGAACTCCTGAGGGCCCCCAAAGTGGGGTTAGATGTGAGCTGACGTCCCAATACTGTGCCCAGCAGCCGACGGGCGCTCACCTGATGATCACACAGTCCAGGAAGTCGGTCAGCCGGCCATTGCGAGTGATGTAGGAGAAATCAGGGAAGCGCCTCTGAGAAGCCAAGAAAAAGGGTCAGAACGTGGCTGCCCTGGGTCTTCAGGTGATGGAAGCGCGGAGCAGCCAGCACGCCAGGGAGCGGCTCCCAGCAGGGGAATAAAGGCACAGCTGAGCCTGGACACTATCTCCCACCCCACCCCACCCCCAGCAGGCCACACCAGGGCCACTGACCGTTCACAGCCTCTGAAAACAGGGAGGGGTCAAACTGCCAGAACCAGTGGCCGAGCCAGAAGCCCTGGGAAGCACTCAGCCACCCCACATGCGTCAGGAGCCTGAGGGCCCCTGCTCCAGGACAGATCATGCAGGGTACCCCATCTGTCAAGTGATGGGGCTGGGGGCTTCCAGGGAAGGCAGCGACCCCAGAGCCACCTGTGTCCTACCACTGACCACTTGCCCAAACTATCCCTACTCCATGGGTCACAGCCCGAGGCTCTGAAGCCTGGGATCCTGCTGAAAACAGCAGCAAGGAGCAGGCGGGGTGAGGTCCCTCCAGGGACCTCCATCTTCCCTCAGGACTCACGTCGTCATTGAAGCCCATGTGCATTCCGCAGTCCAGCATGACATTCTTGCCCCCGATGGAGACCAGGATGCAGCTTCGGCCCACATCCTGGCCAGCTCCTGGACGGGAAGGTGGGATGAGGTGCTGCCACCCCCTTCTCACTTCCCCATGTCCGTTTCCCTGCTGCTGCAAGTGATGGCCCCAGCCACCTGCCTCAGACCTCCACTGGGCACTCTGGGTCCATGGCCCTGCGGAGCCCTCAGTGGGCTGGGAAAAGTGGTCCCCCATGGCTGCTGTGTGGATGACAGGTGAGGCAAGAAGCACCATCACCTCCACACACAGGCCAGGGAAATGTGCAGGGAAGGGACAAAGCGCCAAGCGAGTTCTAGCCCATGTGCCCTCCCCTGCTGCACCTCCGAGCCTCAGGCCCTGCCACTACCACCTAGGTCAGATGGAAAAAGCCCCTCACCTCTTGAGGGAGGAGCCCACCTGCTGCAGCTGACCTGAACCGTCAGGCCAGGGGCTGTGCCAACACGTGGACTGTGGTCCTGGCACTTAATTGGGGTGAATTATTCCTCACCATCCCTCTTGAAACCTCAACTAGGGTCATATCTGAACTGTGGGGCCCCTCCCCCAGGGCCTACTCCCAGAAGGAATAAAGCACCTCCAGGCAGTGCCACTGCAGAGGGACACCTGTGTGCAGCTTTAGCCCAGGCGTGGGGAGACAGGGCCCCAGCTGTCCAGCAGTGACCAACTACAGTGGCCTCAGTGCAGATGCCCCATCACTGCACCCTCGCAGACCACCCCCAGTCCAGACTTAACCTGAATCCTAGCCACCTTCTTGACTTCAAATCCTACCCAGCTGCTCCAGCCGCAGCAGGGCACATCCCAACCATCTCTTCTGGCCATGTGTCACCTCCTCTGGGGTCTGGAAGTCCAGGAAGAAAGGGACATAGCCCTGCAAGGCCTGATGTCACCAAATGACCTGCTTTCTATCCTGATCCTACAGCCTCCCTCTACCAGTCACCTGAACCTTCTGTTAGCACCACTCACACCAGGGTGACCAGGCCATGCCTCAGAGCAGGACCCTGGCTGGTCCTTGAGAAGCTTCCATCACCCATGACAACAGGTGATCCTAGCCAAGTGCTCAGCCACAGGCAGTGGCCTGGAGGTCTCTCAAAGGTCTGCTCCTGCCCCACCAGGACGATGGCAGGGTCTCAGATGTCTGCCCCCTAAAGTTGTACCCAGAGGCCCTCCAAACATTTGTGACAGGGGCTGCCTCTCTTTACAGAGAACGTGAAGTCACAGAAGTCATGGGGTCAGCTCATAGGCACACGGCGCCTAAGCACGGGGCCAAGGATAGTTTCCTGGACTCCAGAGCTCAGCTCTGAGACACTGGCCACCTCCCCCCACCAGGACCCACAACAATCCCATGGAGCAAGGACAGTGGCCTGAACCGAGCAGGAATGTGGGGAACAGAGTCCACGGCACACAAAAAGGAGGCAGGGCTCTGGAGAAAATAAGAGACACCATGTCCGCACCAGCTTATGCTCTAGGGCAAGGAAACAATGACCACACAGAGAAGACACACACTGAGTGCATCATGGAGACTAAGGCAGAGAAGGGGACCCAAAAACTTCCAGAACCACACCAGGCAAGTCCTCCCTAAAATGACTTCTGAGTAGTGTGGAGAAGGACAGCCAAGATGGGAGGGACAGCTGCACAAAGGCAGTGTGGTATGAGGAACCTAGGAGTATGTGACCAGGGAGCCCATGAGGTACAAACTGGCAAAGGAAAAGAACAGAGAAATAGTTCTGATTTGATGGTGCTATGGCCTTGGGAGCACACCCGGGGCAGATCTAGGGTAACAGAAGCAGTAGAAAGAACTGTTCAAGGAGAACAGAGGCCGAATCATGAAGGGGCAGGTCCCACAGAGGCCCCTGGAGGGGAGCCAAAGGCAGGGAAGAGTGTGGGTCCCTGCAGCCAGAGAGGACCCTGTGCTAACAGCTGCCAGAGTCTGTGTGGGTGACCTGCACGGCAGCGTGGAGCTGTGTACTCTGACTGGCATGCTAGGGGCAGGGGCGTCCACAGCTCAGGGTCCATACAAAGGGCTGGGTGCGCTATTGTGAGGAAAAGCGCATACCCTGAGAAAGGATATGGAGCTGCATGGAACATCTGTACAGGAAAATGCTCCCCACACACAGCCCAGCGGAGGAGGCACGTTCTGCAACAGCACTGAGCAGGAGTGCTGGAAGGGTGCCCAGAGACATCTAGAGGGTTGGCCACCAAAATGATAACCCCGGTTGTTTCTGGGACTCTGGGTTTGCAGTGATCTTTCATCCTTCGCAGTGTTCTGCACTGTTTGGGCTTTTTAAAATGTGCATTTGTATCTTTTACAAGATGCAAAACTTTTTTTTTTTTTTTTTTTTAACGTTGCACAAGTCAAGTAAGACAAGGGCTGAACCGAGAGTGGGTGGCTGGACTCGGCCCGCGGGAAGCCGCAGGTACAGGTGCGAGACCGATGCGGGAGGCGGAAGGAAAGAGAGGCAGGGAAGAAAGGCGACCTAAAGCATCGGTCCGTGTGGACAAACGCCGGCGCAGCGAGGATGGAGGCCCTGCGCCTCTACGGTGCGGCGCCCAGAGGGCAGACCCCAGGTGAAGGTGCAGAGACAGTCGCTCAGGCCTGCTTTTCCCCGGGCGGAAAGCTGGGGGCGCAGCGGGCCGCGACACGACCCCAAAGCCGTGCCTCCGGCCCTCCTCCGAGCTTCTCCACACAGAGCCTGAGCCGGGAGCGGGGGTCCGGCCCGAGGCCTCCGAAGACGACAGCTGCGGCCTCCGGGAACGAGGCCGGCCCTCTGCGCTCCCGCGACGCTGCCCCAGACCACCGCCGGGCCCCGCGACCGCTGGCCGGCGAGCGCGTCTCACTCACCCAAGGGAGTGACCCTGATCTCGGGCATGCTGCCGGGCGCGCTCCCAGGCCCCGTCACCTCTGCGCTCACCGAGCCGGCGGGACCACTTTGGCCCTACGACAGCCCGGATCCGAGAGCTCCGCTGCGCGCCACCCAACCTGCGGCGACGCCCCGCGCAGGCGCAGCCCCCACAGGGCCAGCTTCCGGTGCGCCCGCCGGAAACGCCGGCCCACGCGTTGAGCCTCGGGATTGGGCAGCCGGCAGCCAATGCTAGACGGCAGGGCGGTGGTCGGGGGCGGGGCGGCGGGACCCGCGGCTGCGGCTGCGGCTGCGGCTCAGGGGAGCGACGGCGGCACAGGTGAGCGGAGGGCGGCGGGCTCGGGCCAGAGGCCGGGGAGCAGATACCAACCGAACTGTGCAGGTGGGCCTGGGCGTCCCCAAGGGGCCAGGCGCGGGAGGGAGCGGCTTCCACGGCGCCCCGGACGCCGGGCTCTTGCTCAATCCCTGGGCCGCGGCTGGAGCAGGATCCCCGAGGCCCCACTCTACCCGCGCCCCGGCTCCCAGCCCCGCGCCGCCTGGAGCTAGCTCCCTTCCCGGACGAAACTTGCAGAGCTTCCTGAACAGGCCCTCGCTCCTGCCGGCTGGGCCTGGGGTGCCAGGGTGGGTACCCCCTTCTCCGGTGAGGGCCTTCAGCCTGCTGTCAGCTATAGAGCTGGGGTGCTCAGGCAGCTCTCCTGACAAGACTTGATCTTGCGCCTGTGAGCTGCCCCTGGGCAAGCCTTGACGGTGCCCTGCATCACCTCCTCAGAGCTGGCAGGCTGCCTGCCCCGGCTGCACAGTCAGTGTCCTTCCTGTTGTTTCCAAGCCCTGAAAGGCTCCCAGCAGATCCTCTTGGCTGCTGGCTCAGGCTCTGGACAGGAAGGCCAGGCCCACAGGATGTCTGGTGGCCAGGAAGGTAGCCCTGAAGGCTTCAGAGACCATCTGGTCAGTGGAGAGAAGACAGGCCCTGAGAGGGGAGGGGCGTGCCGGAAGTTTCTGGAGCACCACCTTCCTGAGGCCAGGCACAGCGGGTCCCCACACCTGAAGACAGGGTGAGCTCACCTCTGGGGGCTCCGCCCAATGCCAAGCATGTGGCCCAACCCACGGGGCCTCCAGGGCCTCAGCAGTCACTAGGCCCCATCAGATGCCTTTGGCAGCCTGGGTGGTGGACAGGGCAGGCCGTGCTGGCCTGTTTCCCCAGAAATGAAGGACCAAGTCTTAAGGCAGTGAGTTACCTGCCTCCGGAATGGAAGACAGAACCTGCAAGGTCACCCAGGTGACCAGGTCACCCTGGCTGGGGTTCCTGCCCCCCCCCCCTTGCGGAGAAGCCCTGCAGGGCTCCCAGCACTGAGGGTACAGGACTGCATCCTGGATGGTGAGACGCAGCTGAGTCCCCAGGGACCATCAGAGCCCAACCGCGGTGCTGGCCCTGGGCGCCCAGGACAACAGAGGCTGGGTTGCCCAGGGATGCCCACTCAGTACGTGGACGGTTGAATGATTATGGAGTAACTATGTTAATGTGAGCAGAATCTAGGGCAGGACTCTGGCCTGGGGCACTTCCGGAAGTTTCCTTGTGGCTGCCTTCAGAGTGTAGAAGGAACTTTGGCCTGGCCATCTTTCTGTATGGGACCCGTACAGCTCCAGTAGGAAAAGATTGGGATCTGTCTGTCTGGCAGTGCTGACTCTGCGGCCCCTGCTCTGGCTCTCGGGAAGGACACAACCTACCTGTCCACGCCTCATGGCCCTCCACCTCACTCTACTGTCTCTTTCTATAGCACTCATCTCTTTTTACTTGCCATGTTGGAATTTTCTGGTTTTGTTTCTGTGTGACAACCTGCCCAAGAATATCACCCTGATAGGCAGGGCTGTTTGTCTCATGGGGCGTCCAAGTGCCTGGGAGAGCAGTTGGCTCTGGGCAGGGACTCAGCAGGTGTTTCTCCGACTGGTGAAAACAAGTGCAGTCTGGCGCAAGGGACAAGCAAGAACACATGCCGTAGGTGAGACCAGCACAGTGCTGGGACAAACCTGAGCGACGCACGGGGCCACGCTAACACCTGTGGGCATGCATTCCAGGCAAAGGGCAGCATCAGGCCACTGAGCTCGAGCTTGTGGCCCAAGCAGAGTGAAGCAGGCTCCAGGGGAGAAGGGGGCTGACCCAGGATGGGTTCCACTGTGGCTTTTCATTCGGGGGGTGGGGGGCCGCAGGATCCCAGCTGTTGCTTTCTGACTGCTCCGCCCCCCACCCTGAAATAATGACTCAGGGAGTGAGCTGGCTCACGGGGAGACAACCCACCAGCCTGATTCCCTGTGTGTTTCAGTGTGTATTGAAAAATGGGTGACTTGGAGTCGGACTTCAATCTGAAAGTCGTCTTAGTCAGTTTCAAGCAGTGTCTCAACGAGGAGGAAGAGGTGCTGCTGGATCACTACCTCGCTGGCTGGAGGGGGCTGGTCAGGTACATTCGGGGGCACTGCCTTGCGGGCCCCCACACAAGGATGGGGCCTTTCTGACCACACTTCCCACGTGCTATACTGTGCACCGTGCACACCAGGCTCCTGCCTGCCCGGGGCTGCACAGCTGTTCTCATGCGCCAGCTGGCTGGCAGCACCAAGGCTTGTCACCCCTGCCTGCAAGTGGACATGTACCCCAGGAGGTGGGGGGATGTCTCCCCTGCACCCTGGGCTGAACTCCTGCTTCCCCTCAAGCAGGTTCCTGAACAGCCTGGGTGCCATCTTCTCCTTCATCTCTAAGGATGTCACCGCAAAGCTGCAGATCATGGAGCGTCTGTGCAGCGGCCCACAGCGGGAGCACTATAGCAGCCTGCAGTCCATGGTGGCCTACGAGGTGGGCAACCAGCTGGTGGACCTGGAACGGCGTTCCCACCACCCCGACTCAGGCTGCCGGACGGTGCTCCGGCTGCACCGTGCCCTGCGCTGGCTGCAGCTCTTCCTGGAAGGTCTGCGCACCAGCCCCGAGGACGCACGCACTGCCGTGCTGTGCACCGACTCCTACAACGCCTCTCTGGCTGCCTACCACCCCTGGATCATCCGCCGGGCCGTCACCGTGGCCTTCTGTACGTTGCCCACTCGCAAGGTCTTCCTGGAGGCCATGAACGTGGGGTCCCCAGAGCAGGCTGTGGAGATGCTGGGCGAGGCCCTGCCCTTCATTGAGCATGTCTACGATGTCTCCCAGAAACTCTACACTGAGCATTCCCTGCTGAACCTGCCCTGAGGGCAAGCGGGCGAGGTGGGGCATGTTTCTTCTTTCCAGAGCTGGGCTGGGGCGGCCAGAACCCATCAGGCCCACCATGGAGATTTGTGGGTGCCCCAGGAATGGGAAAAACACTTTCACCTGCCAGCTGAGCTACAGGCCCCGCATAGCCCACCCAGCCTGTGCTTCTAGGCTGCAGCACAAGGGCTGTGACAGAGAAGGCAAGCCCTGGCCATCCCATCTGCTCCTCCCTTGCCTTGCTCTGCCCAAGGGTGTCTTTGTTTTTACCCTCTACCAAGTTACATGTGTCCAATCAGGCCTCGTCCAGATGGGTAAAGTGCAGAAGGCAGGGAGGGTGAGGGCAGTATCAGTCTTCGTGCAAAACCCTGAAAAGCTGCCCCCTGCCTGTGAGCCAAGTCCATGAAATGGGGCAAAGTCACAGGTCCCCACAGTGCAGAGACTTCATCCTGCTTGCCAGCAAACTCATCCAGCAGGTGCTTATCCATCCCTGGCCCATCTCAGCGGCAGGCCCTGGGTGCAGTGTCTGTGCCCAGGTGCCCCGGGCCCCTCCACACGGGGCTGGCTGTCCTCAGGGCAGGGATGGGACCCCTGGGCAGCAGTGGGCAATGCAGGCTGGCTCCCTGCCCTCACCTCCCTGTTAGCCAGGGTCCCACACGTCCTCAGCAGCAACAGCCAGCAGCCCAAGCCCTGAGCAGAGGCCTGCCCTGCTTCTAGCCCTGCACACTTAATCAGCAGCCCCTGCAGCCACCCTGTCATTCGGGGGCTCCCGCATGCAGCTGCGTGCGAGTCTGCACAGCACAGCTCCAAAGCTCTAGGGAGCCCACGACTGCACTGGTCCAGTGCTGGCCTCTCCCCACCATCCAACAAGATGCTGTGCTCCTTCCTCCCTGCCCCCGGCTGCCCGTCCCCATGGCCCTCAGGAGACCCAGGGTGATGGCCAGAGCCTGCACCCTTCTGCCTGGCTGATAGGCCAGCCGTCACCGGGCACTTGGGGGCCAGGTGTCTCCTACTGGCTCTTCACTGTGAGCACAGGGCCCTCGGTGCTGAGGGGACTGTATCTACCCTACAGAGATATGCAAGACTGTGAGCCTGCAGAGACCTCGGGAATGTATAATACGGGTGATGGATTTGTGAACAGCAATAAATTCCACTTGTAGAACAGGTGCCGCGCCCCAGGATGGGTTTGCCGAGTCAAGTACCTGTTTACTGAAGGGAGGGGGGGGCGTGACCCTGTGGGGGCCGAGGCCCCACTGCCAGGCTCACAGGGCAGTGGCAGCCAGGGGGACCTGAGGGTGTCATGGCCAGCGTTGCACAGGGGGATGCTGCCCGTCTGTGCTTGTGCCGGCTTTAGCTTGGCCCCCCGGGTCCCCGCCAAGGTCCACATTATCCCCATTTTATAGTTGAGAAAACAATCACACAAGGGCCTGGGTTGGAAGGGGAGCTGCCTTGTCCCGCAATAGTGTTCGGGACACATGTCAGACCCAAACAGTCCGGTGCCACCTCCCCCACCCCCAGGTCCACTGCGTCGCCCTCTCCAGCACTGCCCGAGGCGCACTCCAACCACAGCGCCATATGGCGCCAGAGCCTGGGAGGACAGCCCAGGGCCCACACGTGCGTGCAGTCATTCAGGCGCCACGCTCTGCATACGTGGCATGCACTTGTGTGTGTGCTATGCGCGCAGGTTCAGTGCATCGCGTGTGTGTTATGCACATGGATGTCTGTGTCCCGAGCGCACCATGCAGCAGGGGCCAGATCCCAGACTACCTCCTATGAACACCGGCCAGGGCGGAGATCTCCCGCTCCGCTCCAGGGGCGTCGTAGCCTCCCTCACTTCCTCCAGGTGCCTAATGGGCAAATCCACCCCTGAGCCTGGTGGCGGTCCCCAGGCACCCAGAGGCTAAGTGGGAATGCTGGCAATCGCCAGGGCTCCCCTGCGCACACCTGGTGCTGACCCAGCTTCAGAGGCTCATTTGGCTGTGGCCTTTCCTCCCTCATTTGCATGCACTGTCCTGCAGGCCTAGCTGTTTGTCCCCCAGAGGGAGGCACGTGCCATCTCAATAGCTCAGGCTCAGTATGGGCACAGCCAGGCTCAGGGGCCCCAAAGTTTCCAGGCCTCAGACCCCTAGCAGAGCAACGGCCCAGACCTTCAAGCTGCGCTGCTCCCACCCTGGGGCCCTCCCCACCCCAGCCACAGGGTGGAGACCAGGATGACTGGCTGGCCGCTGTCCTGGCTGGTCCCCTGAGCCTGCAGATGGAGCCCCCCACCCCCGGCTGCTAACAGCCCTCCCCAAGGCTGGAGACCGGTGTTTCCGTACCTACTCCTCAGGGCACTGGCACTTCCCACAGGCAGCTGGAGCCCCCGGAACCCTCTGACAGAGACACCCTGAGTGTCCTCCCCCCGCTTCCAGGAATGGGGTGGGTGCAGAGGGGCTTGGGCACAGGTAGGTAACAAGATTATGGTGAGTGGTTGCGCAGCCAGAGAGCCTGGTTGTGGCATCAGGATCAAAGAGTCCAGAGAGTGCAAACCTACGGGGCCAGGAATCAAGGGTGCCTCCAGGGGGCCCCCAGGCTCAGCAGGGGCAGACAGGCGAGAACTTTGCAAAGCAAATTCCCTGCCCAAACCCCACCCCAAGTCTTTATATCTGGGGCCCCCACCCTGTTGTCTCATTTGCCATCCCCGCCATGCCCGGCCTCGCTCTCCTGGGCCTCACGGCTCTCCTGGGCCTCACGGCTCTCCTGGGCCGTGGGAAGGGTGCCCCTCTGTGCTTGTCCCGGCAGCTCAGGATGCAAGGGGACTATGTGCTGGGCGGACTCTTCCCTCTAGGTTCAGCCGAGGGTACAGATCTTGGAGACAGGCTGCAGCCCAATGCCACCGTGTGCACCAGGTAGGAATGCAGGGGACGGGGAGCAAAGCGGGGAGTGGCTTGGGTCGGGGGTGCTCCTGAGTAGGGGTGAGGTCTCGGCCACCCGCAGCCCTGTGTGGCCCCAGGTTCTCATCTCTGGGCCTGCTCTGGGCATTGGCCATGAAGATGGCGGTGGAGGAGATCAACAATGGGTCTGCCCTGCTGCCCGGGCTGCACCTGGGCTATGACCTCTATGACACGTGTTCGGAGCCTGTGGTGGCCATGAAGCCCAGCCTCATGTTCATGGCCAAAGCAGGCAGCTGCAGCATTGCCGCCTACTGCAACTACACGCAGTACCAGCCCCGTGTGCTGGCTGTCATCGGGCCCTACTCGTCAGAGCTCGCCCTCGTCACCAGCAAGTTCTTCAGCTTCTTCCTCATGCCTCAGGTGCGCGCCCCCACCTCTGCCAGTGCCACCCACCCCACTGGCCCCACGCGCAGGAGCACCCACATCAGGAGGTGCCTCCCGGCCTCTGCAGGTCAGCTACGGTGCCAGCACGGACCGGCTGAGTAACCGGGAGGTCTTCCCATCCTTCTTCCGCACGGTGCCCAGTGACCAAGTGCAGGCGGTGGCCATGGTGGAGCTGCTGCAGGCGCTCGGCTGGAACTGGGTGGCGGCATTGGGCAGCGATGATGAGTATGGCCGGCAGGGCCTGAGCCTCTTCTCCAGCCTGGCCAACGCCAGGGGCATCTGCATTGCGCACGAGGGCCTCGTGCCGCTGCCACACAGGGGCAGCCTGCGGCTGGGCACCGTGCAGAGCCTGCTGCACCAGGTGAACCAGAGCAGCGTGCAGGTGGTGGTGCTGTTCTCCTCCACGCAGGCGGCCCGCACCCTCTTCAGCTACAGCATCCGCTACAAGCTCTCACCCAAGGTGTGGGTGGCCAGTGAGGCCTGGCTGACCTCGGACCTGGTCATGACGCTGCCTGGCATGGCTGAGGTGGGCACTGTGCTCGGCTTCCTGCAGCAGGGCGCCCCGATCCCCGAGTTTCCATCCTACGTGCAGACCCGCCTGGCCTTGGCCGCCGACCCCGCCTTCTGCGCCGCGCTGGACGCTGAACAGCCAGGCCTGGAGGAGCACGTGGTGGGGCCACGCTGCCCCCAGTGTGACCACATCACACTAGAGAACATATCTGCAGGGCTGCTGCACCACCAGACCTTCGCTGCCTACGCGGCTGTGTACGGCGTGGCCCAGGCTCTGCACAACACACTGCTCTGCAATGCCTCGGGCTGCCCCACGCGTGAGCCTGTGCAGCCATGGCAGGTGAGGGTGAGGAACTCCCCCCGGACACTCTTGAGAGGGGGGGATCTTGGGGGGAATCTGGGCTGGCAGCACTCCTGGCCCAGCCCCCCCCCACGTGCTCCAACACACCCACCAGCTCCTGGAGAACATGTACAACATGAGCTTCCATGCACGCGGCCTAGCACTGCGGTTCGATGCCAGCGGGAACGTGAACATGGATTATGCCCTGAAACTGTGGGTGTGGCAGGACCCGACACCCGAGCTGCGCACCGTAGGCACCTTCAACGGCCGCCTGGAGCTCTGGCACTCCCAGATGCGCTGGCACACGCCGGGGAAGCAGGTGAGCGCTGGGTGGCCGGTCCCCGGCTGCACAGCAGCTTTCCCCTCAGCCAGAAGCCAGCTCCGGCCCTGCCTGGGGGGGGGGGGGCGCAGGGGACGGGCCGCAGGTCCGGGCAGGCACACCCAGCCGAGCACGGCCTGAGCCCTGAGGCCCTGTGCCAGCAGCCCGTATCCCAGTGCTCCCGGCAGTGCAGGGAGGGCCAGGTGCGCCGTGTGAAGGGCTTCCACTCCTGTTGTTACGACTGCGTGGACTGCAAGGCAGGCAGCTATCAGCGCAACCCAGGTGAGCACCTCCCTGAGGCTGAGTGCGGGCGGGGACCCACACGGTCTCACGTCCGGGCTCCAAGTCCAACTCTGAGGCCAGGGCAGGTGGGAGAGAGGCGGAGGAGCCTGTGCCCCCCCGCCCCCCCCCGCAGTGCCCCCTCTCTCCTCCCACACCACAGGTGACCTCCTCTGCACCCAGTGTGACCAGGACCAGTGGTCCCCGGACCGGAGCACGCGCTGCTTCCCCCGCAGGCCCATGTTCCTGGCGTGGGGGGAGCCGGCTGTGCTTGTACTGCTCATGCTGCTGGCTCTGGCGCTTGGCCTGGTGCTGCTGGTCCTGGGGCTCTTCATCTGGCACTGGAACAGTCCGCTGGTTCAGGCCTCAGGTGGGCCACGGGCCTGCTTTGGCCTGGCCTGCCTGGGCCTCGCCTGCCTCAGTGCCCTCCTGCTCCCTGGCCAGCCAGGCTCTGCCAGCTGCCTGGCCCAGCAGCCGCTGCTCCACCTCCCACTCACTGGCTGCCTGAGCACGCTCTTCCTGCAAGCGGCCGAGATATTTGTGGGGTCAGAGCTGCCGCCAAGCTGGGCCGATGAGCTGTGTGGCCACCTGCGGGGGCCCTGGGCCTGGCTGCTGGTACTGCTTGCTATGCTGGCAGAAGCCGCATTGTGTGCCTGGTACCTGGTGGCCTTCCCGCCAGAGGTGGTGACAGACTGGAGGGTGCTGCCCACGGAGGCGCTGGTGCACTGCCGGGTGCGCTCCTGGATCAGCTTTGGCCTGGTGCATACCACTAACGCCACGCTGGCCTTCCTCTGTTTCCTGGGCACTTTTCTGGTGCAGAGCCGGCCAGGGCGCTACAATGGCGCCCGCGGCCTCACTTTTGCCATGCTGGCCTATTTCATCACCTGGATCTCCTTTGTGCCCCTCTTTGCCAATGTGCACGTGGCCTACCAGCCCGCCGTGCAGATGGGCGCCACCCTCTTCTGTGCCCTGGGTGTCCTGGCCACCTTCTACCTGCCCAAGTGCTACCTGCTGCTTCAGCGGCCGGAGCTCAACACCCCTGAGTTCTTCCTGGGAGACAATACCAGAGGACAGGGCAGCAGTGGGGGGCGGGGGAGGGGAGACTCGGGGCAAAAACAAGCGGCCCCTGATCCAGTGACCTCACCTCAGTGAACCTAGACTTCGTTGAGATGCCCCTAAACCAAGTTCTTATGAAGCAACCCAGACAGTGCCCCAAGTGCTGAGACCACCCCCAGTTCTAGATCTTGACCGCAGGCTGACTGCTGACCTGGATGTCAGGTGACCCTTCGGCCTACAGCATCTGGGGCCCCAGAGAGGCTCTGCCCCTGCCCCAGTCGAGCCCTGGCCAGGGCCTACCGAGGTGACCCAGCCCCACCGTTCCAGAATAAAGCCCATGGAAGT